TGGTACAGATCTCAATAGGCTTGTACGATTTATTTTGAATGAATCTAAAATTTCTAATCCTGATTTCACTTCTTTATCTCTCAACATCTCAAATGCTAACCAAGAAATGATTGATCGCTTACAAAATATAATCATGTCAGAAAATTTATTATCTAGTTATATAATCAAACGTGTTGGTGATAATATTATTTTAAAATGGAATTAACTTTGATCTAATTACTACACTATAATTCAAAGACTTACATAAATAAAACAAATTCTTTGAACATATTTGTTATATAATATCTATCCTAGAAATAAAAATATGCATGACTTGTTTTCATATATTAAAGTATTCTTTCTCTTGAGGATGGGTGTGGGTGTGCTTGATGAGACCAGTCTTATATTCACATCCACCCACACCCTCAAGATATTTCACAAGAACAGTGTTTTTGCTGCAAAAAAAATATTTTTATTTTTTATCGCCATGATGACGACAGTACACGAGAAAAAAAGGTAATGCCACGTGCGATATTACACTGTGTAAAAATCTGGCAAAACAACAACAACATATTTTTTTGTTCTTTTCTTATTGATGCAATAACGGTGTTTTTCTTCTGTTTGAAAATTTACAAAAAATTATGAAATTAGAATCGTTGGCTAACGAATTATTACTCGATGTATTTGAATATCTTGATTTTCTCAATATTTTTCGTGCTTTTCATGGCCTTAATTATCGTTTTAATCAACTTATTTTCAATGAACGTCAAGTACATCATCTAGATTTTCGTTCGATATCAAAATATGATTTTGATATTATTTGTCGGCCATATTTATCATATATACAAGATCGAATTGTTTCACTTAATCTCTCAGATGATTATAGAACACCGGATCTACCTCAAATATTTCTCTCCTGTGGTTATCGTATCAATCAATTTATTAATTTGAAATCTCTTACAATTAGTTTTTACTCTTTCGCCGTTTTAAAACAGACAATATTTGAATGTCGTGAACTTTTGCATCTTACACGTTTACATATTCATACAAATAATAATCATGACATAGAGAAAAATTCGCGCGAGTTAATAGACAAAATTTGGAATTTACCTAAACTAAGTCATTGTTATCTGGATATTAAATATTCACAGTCAGTTTGGTTCATTCCAATATCAAAGATATCACAATCAATTCATTATTTATCTACTATAGGCACATCATATAACCTTAACGGTTTATTAAATTTATTTGAACAAGCACCTAATCTTAAACGACTTGATATGGGTGATTTTAGTGAAGATCATGATACACAATTAACGCAAACTAATTTTTCATCACTTATTTCATTGAGTATGTCAACTTCTGTATCCAAAGAATCGATGGAATTACTTTTTCAAGTCATACCGAATTTATGTTATTTAACAATCCAATTGGATAATACTTATTTAGATGGACATGCATGGGAACAGATTCTTATCAAATATTTAAAGAATATCAAACGCTTTCGATTAAAAATGACAATTGGATTAGGTTCACATAAAGACATCGCAGAACAAATCGAGGAATTATTAGATTCATTTCGAACCACATTTTGGATAGAACAACATCAATGGTTTGTTCGATGTGATTGGGATCCAAATGATATATATCCGAAGGCTATTCTATATACTCTTCCTTATGCCTTTGATTCATTTTCGTATGTAGGTGGTAATCAATCGAAATCAACTTGTCCAAACGATTTGGATTATTCATTTTATAATCAAGTTCATACACTTGAACATGTAGATAATACAAATTATGATTCGAATAATTTAACTTTTTTACCTATACGATGTATTAATGTTCGCCATCTCAAAATTAAGTTTCCACTTCATGATCATTTTTGGTCACTTCTACCGAGATTAGATCGATTGACTTCTCTTGATGTAGGACTAAATGATGATTCTGATTATGCACAATTACAACAATTACTAGATCAAGCATCTCATCTCGACACATTACGATTTTGTCACATGAGAAAATTTTCAATGAAATCATTCAATATTAACAGTAAATCCATTCAAGGACTTGAATTTTTTCAAAATTCTGGATTTCGTTTCCGATATTTCAACAGTGAGGAATGTGCTATACTAGCTAATACAGCACTTGCTTCACAGTGTAAATTTCTTGTCATTGATGTTAAAAACCGGAGAGATATTATCGCATTAGTCAATGCCATGCCGAATCTTCAAGCATTGAGTATTCTTTGTCAAGATAATAAAAAGAATCAGCATCAACCAATTGAAGAAAATGACAGTTTAACACAATGGTTACACGATCATTTACTGCTTCCTTACACATATTCAATTACTCGTAAGGGATATACAAACGTACCTCTGATTAACTTATGGTTTAACAGAGGAGTATAATTGAACTTTATTAAATATGAGTATTTTATATAATACTATCGTAATTTGTCTTGAATTCATAAAAATATAATAAACAAAACTGGATTGTATAGTGTCTTTTTACTTTCTTCGAGTATAACACTTCTCTATTAAGATATGTTACTTGTTTTAAATACTGAATACAAATCATTTTGCTCGTTAACCCCGTTATGAACAATATGCAATCTATAAGTAGTAGTCGCATATAGAAGATCTTATTACTGCCAATATGAATATGCTATAAAATTACTTTTTTTTGAAACTCTGAACATTATTCTTGTCCAGTTATTAAAAGATATCATCTTAAGAATGCGAGTGTGAGCGTGAATATTCTGTTTGTCCAATATTTACATCCACATCCTCAATAATTATCTGAAACGACTGATTGTTGTGGAAGCAGCTGTCTAAAAATTATTATTCATAGATTATTGAATCAAAATGTATCATCATAGCTATTCATCTTGACAGTATAGGTGTACTTGAGGGCACTTAGTTCACTCATTAGTCATTCATATCTACAGACGTATGAGACTATGGCAAAATACTTTGTTGATAAATAAGTGATTCGACTATATGTATAAGATTTACTACAGTCAATGCCTGGCAAATATGAAAAAAGGAAGATATTAGTTATTTTAAATAAAATTTTTATATTACTGTACAATAATTTACCTAACATGTATTATTAAAAAATATAGCATTATAACAAGAAATATCAATCAATATAATTCTTATGAAAATTTATACCGATTTTATTTATCTATTGTATTAATCAAATAATATTAAAAAAAATACTATTTTAACGTCATTTAGTATAGTGACACAAGTATATTGATTACATCAGTTACACTCATCAAACTCATAATACAAT